ATGTCATCATGCATATGACTAGGATGATATCTATGAGACTGAGCGTCTGCACTAGTACAGCAGCGCTAGTCCCAGACTAAACACACGCGGTCACTTAGTGCGGCAGCAGCTGGTGATCAGTACGTCGAGACCTGAGTCACTGAGGCTAAAGCCATGAAGCGGAAATGTGATGAGGACCCCAGAAGTCACCTAAGGGCACAACAAATCTCATGTTTCCGACTTAGGACACAGGAGGACTCGTACGCAGGACTGCAGTTGCTGAGGATCTGCAGAAGGTCAAATGGTAGAAGTTGAATCCTGGAGGGTCTGACTTGGAGTCCGGCAGAGTAACCGGCACTGAAAGCACGAGCTCTCACCGTCTCATCCATTATGATGGGCGACTTACCAGTGATGGAGTACTGGCCAGGTTGAAGACGCCGAGCATCTTCCTTGACGAACATAATCACTGCCTTGTTGCTTTCCAACACGACCTCCTGTATAGCCTGAGAACCGAATTTTCCTTATATCGACCGCCACCGTCGATACCGTACTTCTCGCAGCTCGCTATTGAACTGCACACCAAACCAAGTCACTGGGAGCTCCCGCTGAGCTTCGTTATGGACAACACCGATCGGATATCTGATAGCAATGAATCAGTGAGAGAAAGACCAAGCTCATGATGGACCCACTCAATGCGAATTCTGTCGATGCCGCCATCTGTTGGGAAGTCCTTGGTGACATTGAACATCAACGTTACGCGATAGTCCAGTGCTCCCTGAGTTGATAATAGATCAGCTTTCGTGGCTATAGCTCACCTCCGTTAAAGCGGCGGTGCTGAGAGTTGTTGTGGAAAGTGTCCCATCATCGGGCTCGGCGGACGGCACTGTATCACGCCGGAATATACCACGATAAGACGCCGTAATCGGAGTTCCATATTCGACCTCGAAACCTGAGCATGGCGGCGATACTATCCAAGGCAAGAAACGGGGAAGTGCAGTCATCACTCGGAATGGTCATGGCTGCATCCTGAACACGGCCGTATTGATCCACTATAGCGATCGTCAAATTATTGGGCTCAGGGGTCACTTCTGGGGTATTGACCAGCCACGAAAGGCCGTAATCTGATGATGGCAAATGTTGACCAACAACAGCAGCCGAGCTTACCTCTAGCTGGTAGAACGTCGATGATGAGCCGAAGCTGTACGATAAGCTTTCCACTTCCCTTGGAACGGATGGTGCTGCACCTAGAAAGGAACGACATCCACTGCAACGACCATGTCCAATGATGGCGACTTTTCGATGCTGCTATGGGACACTGGCAGGTAGGAGACTTCGAGGGTGTCACAGTACACTTCAAAGGTCTCGGGTAGGATGACCCTGACGAAGCCGCCTGAGAGATCGTACCTGAACAGAAACACATGGCACTGTTGGCGTACGGATGTGGTCACGTCTGCTCAGTAGCGAAACCTATTGCCATGAGGAGTCTCGTGTTATTGTACTGCTTGCTCGGAATGGAGGGGTATAAAATACGTGCATCTTTCATTTGTCTGTCCACAAGCAGCCACATCGGAATGCCGCTGACTAGGAGAATCGATTCTCACCTGACCTCGAAGCCAGCATGCTCCGACCATCCCACTTCGCTGTGGTTCACTGGACTATACACGAAATTAGCTATAGAGCCTAATGAAGCACAATATTCGCGGCCATACTCCAAGATCGGCCACTCAGT